TTATACGTAAGAATTCTAAAACCTTAGGGCAGTTATTTGGAAAAAATATAAAATAGATTTTCAATTTATGTTCATTTAAAAAAATAGAATAGCATGGACCTAACGTAACAAGCATTCTGAGAGTACTGCATTAGCAATACTAGTCCCCTACCGGCAAGTGTAATCTGGTTCCCATTGAAAATTGAAAATGCCATAATTCCTTCAAAAATCCGTTGAGCGGAACGAAATGCAAACTTTTAAATATAACTCATCAAGGTACAGTTACTTACCAAAACTCAGTTCAATATCTGCAAGCGTTTCGAAAAAAAAATTGCGGAAAACAGTGATAATTTGAAAAGGTCGTGAATCTGTCAAAAATCATTGAAGCGGAAAGAAATGCAAACTTGATCTGTAACTCATCAAGATACAATCACATACCAAAAATCAGCTCAATGTCTGCAAACATTTAGAAAAAAAGTGCAGAAAACCAAGTGGGACAGACTGACAGACAGACAGACGGACGGACAGACAGACAGACAGACGGACGGACAGACTCAGAGGAAACCTATAGTGCCCTCCAGTTTCACCGGTAGGGGACTAATAACCTTTGAATGGACTTTAACGAAATAGTCTTTGAAGACCAGCAATGAATAAGATGCATAAACTTTACCTCAGAAAAATAATTTTTACTAATAACACTTTCAAAATACAGGCATGTATGAACCTTTTTTTAAAAAAAAAAGAAAAGAAAAGAAAACAAGATGTGTTTGGGAAACATTAAAGCCCCCATATGGCAGCGCAAGACCAAGGTAAAAGTTTTAATATAGGTCAAACTTAAAGGTCACAAGTTCAAAAATGTTGGTGTTGAAATGTGAAAGCCATAACATCATCCATTCAGAAAATATGGCCAAGGTTAAAGTTTCTCAAAAGTAAGTCATACTCTAAAATCGAAAATGATCGTACCAAAGGTCCTGTCACAAGGAATACATAAGTGAAATATGAAAGCCCTAGCACCAACCGTTCAAAAGTTTTAGGCAAGGTTAAAGGTTTTTTCCCAAACGTAGGTCGAACTCAAAGGTCAAGTTCATGAGGTCAAAAATGTTGGTACTCCCAAGAAAGGTCTTGTCACAAGGAATACGCATGTGATAAATTAAAGCCCTAGATCCAACCGTACAAAAGTTATGGCCAAGGTTTAAGTTTTTTAAAAGAAGGTCAAATTTTAAGGTCAAGGTAAAAAGTATTGGTACTTAAAAAAATCGGGGCAAGTGAAATATCAGCAGTCTCATTCAAAGTCATCATTTCGTAAGTTCTATGGTCGATACAATGAGCTTGTCGGCAAATACAATTTATCATTGAGTTAAATGCTGACTGACATTTTTCATACTGGTTGTTGGGCCATTGTTTGCAAGCTGAGTTGTCGGCGGATTTTACCGTTATTTCCCGATCGTGGCGGGGGCGCACGGCGGGTGTGACAGGTCGGCGGAGGGTGCTCGCCCTCCATGGCATCTGATCCCGCCTCTGATGTTTTGGAGGTCCGTGTTTGCTCTGCTCCTATTTTGTATTGTTTAATGGACTTTTGGGCTTGGGTGCTGTTCGTTGTCTCCATATATTTCATACACATGTAAAATATAATAACCCTAGTAACAACCGTTCAAAAGCAATGGTCAAAGTTAAAGATGTAAAGTAGGTCAAAATACAAGGTCAAAATTGTTTGAACTCTAGGTCTAAATTTGAAGCCTTTATACCAGTATCTGGTGACATTCCATATAATGAAATATATGGAGATAACGAACAGTAATCGAGCTCAAAAGTCCATTAAACAATACAAAATAGGAGCAGAGCAAACCACAAGATGAAACACTTCCTTTAAGTTTGGCTTAATGGTGGCTTATAGGTCTTTAATGATGGCTTAATGATTGTCTTTAAGTCACCATTAAGCACCTTTAAGCTACATTTAAGAAATAAATACACCATCATTAAGTTTCCATTAAGCCATCTCAAAGTCCTTAATGGATGCTTAAAGGTAGCTTAATGGTAGCCTCTAGACAATCATTAAGGCACCATCAAGCCACAATTAAGCCAGACTTATAGGTGCTTAATGTCCAAACTCCATTAAGCTACCATTAAACCACCTTTAAGCCACCATTAAGTCACCATTACGCAGTCGATAAAACTGTTTTTACTTGTTAAATATTATTTTTATAATGATTTCTTCACAAAAATTATAAATGTCGAGTTTATACATTTGTTAATTCAGCGAAAATAATGTAAAAGAAAGAAAATTAAAAAAAAAATGAAAAAAAACATTCCCAATAGGATTCGATCCCACGACCTTTTGATTTGAGGGCAAATGCATTAACCACTGAGCTATTGATGCTGTTGAAATTGAAGTGAAATATAAAGTCTCTATCATTAACAAAACTTGTTTGGAATGGTTACAGGTACCTGTACATGTAATTTTTTCCTGATGTTTATATTTATTAATCAATAATACGAATAATTATATATATATATATATATATATATATATATATATATATATATATATATATATATATATATATATATATATATATATATTAGAAATTTTGATAAATTTTTATATTGCATTAATATTTCTTAGCCGTGGACCGGAGTTCGGTCTGATGGTGTGAAAAAAATTGATTTTAAGTGACTGAATTCCTCCTGTTATTCGCAGATTTATAAGCATGAAAAGATTGAAATTCAACAGATTTAACAAAATTTTGTTATTAAAAAGGAATATATCATCGAAAGAGAACGATTGGGAAAAAACAGATTATAGTTCTTATAAATACGCTGCGGGTATTTACGATTTTTGACAGTCTTTGCGTAATAATTAAGTTATAAAGTATTTTTGTAACATATCATCTTCAGTTTTAATTCTTTTTATATCATTATTGGTATCAAAATAATTGTCTTTTTGTGTACAATCATAATTTCTAATTTGTTATATGCTTGCGTAAAATTTTAAGTTTTGTAAAAAAAAGAGCATCAAAATCTGTCACTGTACGTTCCCGTGTATAGTTTCCTGTTGATTGACCGGGGACTGGTGGGGACACCTAATTAAGGTCTACTGTCTAACTAGCGGATATACTGTACACTGATTATTTTACCCCACTTCTCAATGTGTATAAATCTGGCCGGATACCCTGTTTCATCTGATCTTCTGAAAATTGATTTTGAAATAACAATCATTGAAGACCTACTATATTTTGATCAATTCTTACTTCTGCATTATTTTAAATAAATTCTTATTTCTACAGTATTTTAAAAGAAAGGAAAAAATAATGGCACTTTACTACGAATTAATTCAAATTATTCATGAATTAATTCAAAGATTGGCAATTTAATCTATACCTATATATTTTTTTAATATCTTAAACATTTCTCTACCCAAAGAAAATTTAAGAGACTTAGAGATATTCCAGGAGAAAATGACTCTAATTACATTTCCTAATTCGGCAGTGGAACGTGGCTCTCCAAACACGAAAGAAAAATATGTGATTTTTTTTTAAAATTAATATATATTATGTATTTATGGATAAAAATAATTTTAAAACAAGTATTCAAACAAACTGATTTTAGGGAGCAAAAATTTTAAGGCATTTGGTGAAGCTGTTCTCAGTTCCCGAGTTATACGCATTGACAAAGATGTTAGAAATAGCGAGAAAAAAATTATGAATCGAATATTAAGTATTTGCGTAAATGATACTGAAACAACTTCAAACTTAACAATTAATTAAGTTTGAACATTAAGTCACCATTAAGCTGCAGCTTAAAGGTGGCTTAATGGTAGCTTAATGAAGTTTGGACATTAAGCACCTAGAAGCTGCAGCTTAATGGTGGCTTAAAGGAATTAAATTCTATAAGCCACCATTAAGCCACCATTTAGCGATTGCTTAAAGATGTTCTTTCGTCCTGTGAACACGGACCTCCAAACATCAGAGGTGGGATCAGGTGCCATGGAGGAGTGAGCATCCCCTGCCGACCGGTCACACCCGCCGTGTGCTCCTTGTCATGATCGGGAAATAACGGAAAAATCCGTCGACAATTCAGTGTGTAAATAATGGCCTAACAATTAGTATGAAAAACGTCAGTCAGCATTTGACTCAATGATAAATTGTATTTGCTGACAATGTCATTGCATCGACCATAGAACTTACGAAATGATGACTTTAAACGAGACTTTATAAGTGAAAAAAATCTTACAAGGGACAAAAACTATAATCTCTCTTTATCTCTCTTCCCTCCCTTTTCTTCTGTCTTTCTTTACTTCTTTATCTTTCTCTATATCTCATCTATTTTTCTCATTTTTCCTCTTTTCAATTCTGTTAAAATTGTTATATTTTAATCCTTTTCAAAACATTTTTACCTTTCACGGTAGCTCAGTCGGAAGAGCGCTCGCTTCGTGGTCGGGAGGTCGTGTGTTCGAATCTCTTCCGCAACTGACCTAAGTCGATAAAAATGGGTAGCAACTGTTCCTTCGCAATGCGCTCGGCACCTTGAAGTGAAAGTTGCAAATCCTTCGGATGAGACCTTAAAAACCGAGGTCCCGTGTCACGGCAGACGTTGGCACGATAAAGATCCCTCACTGCTCAATGGCCCTAAGTAAAGGTCAAAATTTGAAGCCCTTCACCAGTATATGGTGACATCTCTATATGAGTGAAAAATTCTCGAAACAACATACAATCAATCAATCAAAACATTTTTAAAAAAAAATACGCTTAAAAGGTTGATCGACTGGAATATAAAAAAAAAACAACTCAAAGTTGATGTTCCTAATCAAGATAAATTGTATTCCATTTTGCGTGTAGCTTAACCTTGGTTCATCCTCATCATACTCACATAGGCAGAATGTGTAGCATAAAAAATAATGACTGAGTGTTCTTAGCCACAAGCCGAGTCGAGAAGAAAAGTTGCTTTGTGTAAATCAGAATAAAACTTGCGTAGTAAAATGTATGGTGCATTTCTTTCAAATGATTTCCGCTTTGGTATGAGCATCAATTTTGATCTAAAATAAATAAGGACATTGTCAAACAAGCATAAATTATTAAGAAAATGACTAGAAACAGTCTATCGAGGACACAAGCTAGCTCTTTCCATTCACGTTTCAGGGAATCAGAACGTTGTTCCTCCTGGACACGCATATCATTTTCCTGGATGATTCTTCTCAGAACCACCTGCAACATTTCTTCAAGTAAGACAAGGTCTTTTTTTCTATCAGGTGAGTGTCGTTCTGCATCAAGTTCATGTGTTCCATTGAAGCGGTGCCTGAGAGAACTTTCGTCTGTTCCATCTGCCCTGTAGTCATGTCCTTGCTAAAATATTCACATAAATGTACCTCACAAAACATAAGAAGTTAGAAAGAGTCACAATATTTATGAAATTACAGAATATCTCTTTTGTCATCACAGGAAATACACAGTGGTTAGAGCGTCTACTCTAGAGTCGCGAAGTAAGGAGTTGATCCTTACATCGCGGGTTCGAATCCCACTGTGGGACGTGGGGACTGGTCCTTCGGATGAGACCGTATAAACCGAGGCCCCGTGTCGCACTAGGTGCTGGCACGAAAAAGATCCCTCACTGCTCAATGGCCGTAAGTGCCGAGTATAGGACAAAATTTGCAGCTCTCCACCGGCAAGTGGTGGCGTCTCCATATGAGTGAAAAATTCTCGAGAAGGACGTTAAACAACATTCAAACAAACAAAAACCGTATGTTCGGGTTTCCTTACCAGAAAATCCGTCATTTAAACTGATAAATATGTGTTGCTCTTTGTTTGTACATATTGCAGGTTACTACTTACATTTTATGGTTAAAATTCAAAATTAAAACATAATTACATGTATGGGGAAAAAGGTTGGAAGGAAGCCAACATATAATCCAATATGTATGACAAATGACTGCTAAAACTAAATAATGTACTGAGTAAAGTACTTTTTACGTTTAATTCTATACTAGCATAATAGCATCAAAATATGATTTACATACAATAGAAATTCAGTCGAAAAAAAAGGATGAATATGTACTGTTCTAAATGAATGACCATTTGTTTTGATAATAATATAGTATATATGAAAAAAAAAAATATATCAGTAACAGTTTCATTTTCTCTTTTAAAAAAATGTATATCGGAGATACCCATAAACGTTGAGCCTCTATGTTTACATTTTTCTTAACATTATTACTTGTATTGCGAGTGGAGGACGTTCATTAATGTGAACTTAGCTAGAATGTATAATAAAAGAGACATAACTGAAATAATATCATTTTGCAAAAATGAATTGTTTAAAGAAATAACCTAAAGGTTCATTTTTGATTCGTTGGAGGTGAAAGCCGACAAAGGACTACCCGATATTTCTTAAAAGCAAATATCTGTACCTGCTTTACATCGGGTCATTTGAGATTTCAATTTAAGGTATTCCATCCCAAATAGCAACAGATTCAATGAAATTGAATACATAACAGATGTGTAGGGGTTGAATACTTAGTAAATTTAGACATAATTGAATTCCCATTTATTATTATTAACAAGAGTAAGGGTGGGATGTGTCCTAATTTATGGCCTTGAATTTTGGTAAGAGTTATCTCCCTCTGTTTTTTTAATCAAAAAATTAATTTTAAGGTCAAGATCTAGTAAATGACATTAGACTAACTGTTTGGTGCTAGATCCATTATGACATCATAATCAATTTCAACTTTCTTTTTCCCGTACCTTACGGCTCTAATATAATTATGTAGAAAATAAAGTATTTTCATGGAATTCAATTTGAAATCATGTGAAAAATAATCCCGATACCTATATTCAATACTATTTTTAAAAAAAGGCCAAGAACATGCAAATTACCGTTTTCTGAGAGACTGTAGGCAATCTGGATACATTTCCATTGTCTGATATGGAAAAAACTTCGTATTTGACTGGTGATTTTTCGCCTTCTTTGCCTACAAATTATGCCCCGAAACACCTTATTTGATCAAGCTAAAGTTATAAAGCATCATTAAATGAATTTATTTCTCAAATTTGAGAAATCTGTAGGCACCTTTCATTAACTAGATCTTGACCTTAAAAGATCTTATCTGGTAAAAAATCGTTTTCAATTGTTATTCTATTTCTAATGTTTTAAGGCATCTTTCCACTTCAGTATTTACTCATATTCTTACTATTTGAATTTCAATTTTTAAAAAATCGCTTGTTCCCATAGACTTCAATGCAATCTTTGTTAATTAATTACTGTTAAGTTAATTACATTTTTTGAAACTTTCTCTTAGTTAATCCTTATCTACTGTAAAATGCTTTTAAATCAATATTGGAGCATTATGTAAGTAATGGACATTAAAGGATAGAGAATTTGATCCTATTAGGCTTGGAAAACCTTAAATGTTTCACTTTAATATCCAAAATATTCAGCCTGAATCACTTGGGTAGGTGCATGCCATTATTATACCTGGACATCTGGATCCCTTTGCTTTGGGTTTTCTTTTACAGAAATAGAAATACAGAGAAATCGAGACAGGATTCCAAAGCAGATTCTTTTAAGAATAACTGGAACTTCACGGCCACTGTCACCATAGTGATAAACGTTCATAGTTACTGCATTGATACTTATGGAAAGGGAGATAAGAAAGGTTGATATTCCATAATATAAACCTAAAAGTGAAATAATATGACTGTTCAAAAGATATTAATAAAATTTATCAAGGTATAAAAGTGAGAAAGAGAGAGAGTTTTACCATGAGGTTCTTAACCTTGGTCAAAGCATTTACTTCAAACTTGAAGCATTTAAAGTAACTGCAGCATTGTTTTTTTTAACATAAAAAATATGTGTCAGATTTTAAATCGATTTAAGACTTACTTATGAGAGGGACTGCATCTGATACAGGAGGGAGACTATCAGCCACAACCATTTGTAAAACAACCATAGATAACAATGTTGTTAATCCGATGGATATTTTTTCCTCAGATCCGTGGACGAAAAATCCAATAAGTGATATGGTTATAAGTAAAATTGTCGGCATCAAGATATTGAACAAATAATAAAGTGGTTTACGCTTTAAAACTATCGTGTATCTAATATAAAGAAATGGATGAGTCCATTCAGCATAAAGCAATGTGTAGTTATCAATAGTATATTTCACAAGATCAAACTCTGAATTTGGGTGATATTCATTAAGATCGGCATCTAGGTTGTCCGGAATAACATTAATGTCACTGTTGTCAAAAGACCAAGATCCAAAATCAAGGAAACATTCTTGCACATCGAAAGGAAAATATTGTATGTCCATAACACACGTGCTTTTAAATATCCATCGTGACCACCACAAAGCTTGCCCCTTCGAATTTATGGGAATATTTGTACTGCTTGAAGATCCCGTGCTTGAATCAATCCTGAAAAACACATTTTTTTAAATGAAGATTATATACGAAAAAATCATTGGGAAAATTCATGACTTCATAAAATATCAAACAAAAATCATGAAACACTAAATCTTTAAATTATAGCTTACGTGTTGAATCTGATTCACTAAAAAATATTTATAACAGGAGATGGTAATTGAAGACTTACGAGTTATATAGAATGATATCCGGCTTCCAGATTTGATCATAATGAAGATGGATAAGTTTTAGGTCATCATATTCATTAGGATCCCAGCTAAGATTCACATCTGTCCAATTCTGTAAAAAATATACAAATATCATTAAGAATGTGTTACTATCAAATTAAATGACCATTGCTTTAATGCGTAACACAACTTCTCTGGAAATGTTTTTCTCAGGTGTACTTTGACATGAAAAGGCAAACACATATTTATCCCATTTCTCAATAAGGCCTACATATACGCCACTGCAATGATATTTAAAACTCATTTATAATGTAAAATATTCTTATTTTCTTTATGTAAGTCAAAATAACGAATATATCGAAATTGATCACCGTTTATTCAGTGTGTCAAACAGAATTAACGTGCATTATTTATACTTTATGGGTATAGTATAACTAGAATACTGAATGCAATTCCCAGTAGATACTAAACGTGATTTCGATATTGAAAGTCATGGGGAAAAAAATTGCGACGTTGAACAACTATAATTCATAGTGTTCAACTTTGAGGTTTCGACGTTTTACAACGTTGAAACCACGTTGAAGATGCAATATATTTTCAACGTTGAATGTTCGTTGATATATTCAACGTTATTTCAACGTAAGTTTGCTACATTTTTTCAAAGTTGAAAAAAGTGAAGAACATCGTATTTTCAACTTCAAAATAGTAAAGATTTTTCAACATTGAATCCACGTTTTTATATGCAATATATATGCATTGTTAGAAAATGTTCTTATTTACAAATAAAATGTGTTATGAATTAATTAATTACATTCGAAACAAATATGATCAAGACAATTTTTTATATAATCTTCATATAATCATGCATGGCATTGATCTACATCAGCACATATCTCAATTAAAGTAAAATGCATATTAATTGTGAACATAGTGTTGTTCCATTTATGAAAAAAAAATTCTGATTAATTTCAGCTTTGTATAAATAACGGATAATTGAAATATGTGCAAAAGCAATAAAACAAATGAATGCTATATTTATCTTCTCCTTTTTGAGTATATTTACATGAGCATATACATATATTTCGACAGACATTGTTTATAAATGTAATACTCACCATCTGAAGCCAACAGCTGGAAGTTAATAGCTGATTGTGTTCGTCCTTTATGAAAATTTAAAAAAATTAGAGGTATTTTAGATGAAATTATCTAATAACTTATTTTAAATGAATTTTATAAATTAAGGGTAGAAATTGATAAAGTGACTGATTGCTCCAACTTGTTTGAATGTTTGTTTGTCTAACTTTCTCTCTAATTTTGGCGGACTATTTGCTGGTCAACAAGGTTGTTGGAAAACCAGAGTATTTTCATTACTTACCCAATGCTTTTGTCTAAATATTGCAAGAACTGACATCTTAAGGTTAATAGTAAGAAATCCAAAGTTGTAATATCTTTTACATTTGAAGGTTCTCATCTTGATATAGTTGAAATTTTTAAATATTTTGGTGTTCGATTTTGTGAAAGCAATTCTTTTAATTCGAATACCGAAGAACTGTATGACTAAGCTAACAAATGTATATAATGTGTTATTGGTAGATGTAGAAAAATAATTTGGGAATTGATAGTAGATTAGATATTTTTGACAAAGCTATCTAACTAATACTTCTATATGGTGTTAAATGTGGGATTATCACAGTACTAAACTTATTGAGAAACTACACTTAAAATTCTGTAAACGTATTTTAAGTTTGAGAACCTAAAAACCATACTTAATGGTGTATTGGGAACTTGGCTGATATCCTTTATTAGTTGATGTCAAAGTTAGAATAATTCTTTTAGGTGTAAACTACTTAATGCTCAAAGTTCTAAATTGTCAGTTAAACTTTTATGCGCACTGAATAATTATAGGAATCCACGATGTGGATTTGTTCAGAAAATTTTAAATGAATGGGGGTTTACCCATATGTGGTATGAAATTTTAATTGAATATCTTGATTAAAATTAAGACACACCACTCTTTTAGAACAGTTTCAGCAATCATGGTTAAGTGAAGTAGAATCAAATGGTTTTAATTACAGAATCTTTAAAGAGAACCTCAATCTTTGAAGGCTATTTGTTGGATTTTCCACCTGGACTATCTAAATAATATTTAGAACTGGCAGTACACAACTACCTAATGAGACTGGTAGATGGTTTAACACCCCAAGAGAGAATATAATTTGTATATTATGTTATTGCAATGAAATTGGGAATGAACTTCATTATTTATCTAAATGCACCGAGGTACATGTATTTTTGAAGTACTCAAGAGTTATGCACTTACCAAATTATTATCAATCGAGTTTAAATGTCTGGAAATTTGAAATGCTTTTCAATTTAACAAATACGAATCTACTTGGAGAAATTTGTAAAATTGTTAGAAAGCATGATTTAGAGAGTTGCCTCTCTTGGTTAATTACACTATTATTCCTTCTTAAGGCATGTAATACATATTTTCTGTTTTATTATATTGCTTGAACACCATGTACCTTGGTATTTTCTCTACACTATTTTTTTCAGTTATGAGAATAAAAAAATCATTTTCATTGTTTGTCATTGTCTGCAAAAAATGGCAATGCCATTACATTTCTGGTTTAGTAGTGCAAAAGCAAACAAAGCTACATAATTCTGTAGTACTCTTAATTATGTAGTTATCTTACAACGCGAACAATGCCAATTAAAGATACTGTCAGAAGAACGTCTAAACGGTCCCTGTGGTTCTTGGATGGTCGGATGTTTTTGCTGTAGTTTCTCATTAGATCTTGTTCCAACCGTATTTCATTCTCGTCACAAGAAACAAATGTGACAACTGTTAATGAAAAAAAAAATGTATATTATTACATGTTTATATTTAGCTTTTAAATAGAAAATTCTAAGGTAAACAATGGGTTCTTGAATTGGTTTTTGTCACAATGAACTTTCACGTTTCTTATGAATCAAGAGTAAGATGCTAGATTTATTATAGAAAATATAAACATCTCCAAAATATTATGAATGATTTCATTCTTTGTGTTTCTCTTAAATTTTTAGGAGAAAAAAGTCTTGCTTAAATTTAAGAAAACGATTCTTGCTGAAAATAACTGTATATTTATGTATTTATTAATTTATTTATTTATTTTAGCCAAATACATTCAAAACGGATAAGAGTAAAAAGGGTTGGAAAAGAGAATGACCTCTACTTTTATTTGCTTATATTTGTCACAGATTGTTGCATTTTGCAAAATGTACAAAATTTTGAAGCTAAACACAAAATACCACTTACTGATGGCGAGAAGGAAGATTTTAAGAGACGGCATGTTCCCCTGAAAACAAAGATGAGAGAAAGATGTAATCACTGCAAAACCTTGAAAACCAAAAATAAGGATTTATATTTGATGCCAAATCTTTATTGAAAAAAAAAAATTCTCGGGGAAACCTTTTCTTGTAATTAGACAGGAACATCAATTGATATAGATGAAGATAACGAAGAGTGGTCGATCTCAAAAAGCCTACAAACAATACAAAGAACAAGGTTCACTTAGGGTCTTTTTTGGCCCTGTGAATTTCTGAAAAAACTGAAACTGCTTAGTTTTAGTTGACAATGCATTAAATTTCATTTAGACATTTAGCGATTACGAATCTACCAAAAATGACGTAATTTTCTGGCTAGTCAATGTATTATGACGTCATGAAATGAGTCATTTTCCTTATATTCTGAACAATTCTACAAAAACAGCCAATTTTTAAAGCTATTTTTCGATATTTAATATAGAGCGCAATCTCTGATCTAAAATATGCAATTATTTACTGATTGAACCGTTTCCGAGGATTACAAAACATGTTTTATTTTTTAGATCAGAGGGTGCGCTCATATTATTTTTCTTCTCTGAAAGTACTTAAAAATACCTGTTTTCCTTAAAATTCAAGAACATTGCAATTCCATAAAGCTTGTTTTCCAAGACCTGGACTTAAAGGAAAAAATTTTTAATAGGAAATGAAAGCACTAAGT